TATATATATATATATATATATATATATATATATATATATTAGAAATGCATATTTTCTAAAATGGTGTGTGTCCATGAATAGAGGAGTCTCGTTCTTTCTGTCTTTTTTAATTCATCAAAGTTTTAAAAACCAGTTAATATAATAATATTTAAATTTTAGTAAATTTTATGTTTTCTTAATTATTCATGATATAAATGGTCCAGTTTTACTTTTCAAATATCAGTATTAGTTTTAATTTCTTTAATCACTTACATAAATAATATATTTACAAAATAATTTTTTATTGGTTATGCATATAAAATAATAAAAATAAAGTTTTTGCATTTTTATAAAGAATTTAGACTTTAAATATCATAAGACATTTATTCTAATTACTATATATTAGACTTAGAAAAAGTGCTCATAATTAAAAATGTTTTTATAAAGATAATCAATGAAAGAAAAATTATGAATTAAGTCGTATAAAAATATCAAACACCATTTTAATTGAAGTGTTATAGTAAAAGCTTCGAAAAAAAATATTTTATTCACTTTTTTAAGAAAACAAAAATGTATACTTAAATAATAATATTATAATTAGTAAAATTCCATCAATCAACATCTACATACTTTTTTTCTATTGAGTCCAAAAGTTGTAAAAATTGTATAAATAAAATTCTCTCTTTTAAATTAGCATAAACGAAGTTAAGTTCGTGGTGACGTGTCTTATAAAATCTATCCTTTTTTTCTTCTCTCTCATATGATCTTTCTGCAATGTTCAATTTTTTCTCTTTCTATATTAATGATTTTCATAATTTTCATAAACGAACATTTTTTTTTCTTTTTCTCTTTTTGCAGTTTGGTGGTGACAAGGGAGAAGTGGTCCTGGGTGGTGGTGATGACGAAGTAGAAGTGGAGGAGGAGGAATAGGGAGAGGATGGGAATGGAAAGAGGTGTGTTGTGTGGGAAGTGGACCACCACAAGCCACCATCGCAACCTATCACCACCAACAATAATCTTCACCACCATCAAACCCTATTTCGCCTCACCACCATCAATACAGACCTGTAATAAGAAAAACCCCAATCGCGAAGCCACTGCGAAGCCGTCACCACCGACCCACCCCCTTCTTCATCATTCTCGCGCAACAACCTCCATTGCGAAACCTTCACCAACCTAAATCACGCCGTTGTTCAAGCCAGACGCACCACCCCCAATCTTTTACGCGAACTAGATGCATCATCAAACTTGCAAGAAGAGATACCAAACAATCCAAATCCAAAATCACACAACCATAAAAATCGCACATTGCGCCTCGTGTCTTCATCTCTGTTTTCAGGAGCCTCTCGAAGAAGCCGGTGACCCCCTTGGGTGGTCTGGAGCACAAGGTGATGCGGTGGGGAAAATCGTGAACCCAGGATTGGATGAAGTCGACGATGACGCAATCTGGTGGGTGCTGCTCTAGGAAACTGGTGATGGGGACGCGCAGGAACATGCTGGAGCGGTAGAACTTTCCGACACTTTCAGCGTCATTGGCGACGGACATGAGTTGTACACCGTCCGGGAAGCCAGCTTCTCATGACAGCCCAGGAGAAACCCTTTCTCCCTTTTAACTTTGATCCTTTTGTGAAGGGTCTGAAATTTTGATTTAGGAGGGATTGCAATATGGGCATGGGTATTGGAATTGAAAAATTGTGATGAATTGGTTGAATTAATGGCTGAGATTGAATGTTTCAGGAAGGAGGAAGGCTCTTTGGGTGATAAAGATACAAAGGAGAATAAAAAAAACCTTGATTGGGGAGAGAATAAGAGAGAGAGAGAGAGAGAAAAAGATGGCAGCAACAGTAGAGGAAAGAGAAAAAAGTGCAGTCAGGTCAGAACGAACTTAACTCCGTTTATGCTAATTTAACGGAGGAAACTTTATTTATACAATTTGTACAACTTTGGGACTCAATATATTCAATTTTAAAATCGAATACTAAACAAAAATTCATTTCTTAATATGGAAACGAAGTAAGCATTTAAGCCTACATTTAAATATTAAATATGGATGAGAATAAAAGAAAAAATTTCAATATAATAATTAAACATTTTACTCATGAATAAAATATTTTCTAGAAAATTAAGGTGAAACATAGATTTTTGTATATAAATTAAAATTACTTTAAATTACACCCAAAACTACATGAAACCAAAACCTTATTTAAAGGTTAATGTAATTTGTTTCTTAATACTCATATTCAAAACCACCGTTTAATGGAAGAAAAATCATTCAAGGATAGTAAAAAGGTAAATTAATATTCATTATACATACACTAAGAGAGAATACAAAAAATAAGTATAAAAATTATATGATGTGATAAGAAGAAAATGATAAAAAATTAAATATAAAATTGATATAAATAAAATCAAAATTTGTATATATTAAGTGTAAAAAATAAAATCATTGCTCCAAATGGAATTTCATATCTTATCTCATTAGACAAACTAAGGTTGCAATAGATTCACTAAAATTCTTGCCTTCCCTTGTGTCCCTACCAAGACACTTTTTGATTTATAGCAACCAACCATCCCCGTTCACTACCAAACTTACCAACCCCCATACCATTTTGCATTCCTTTTATACTGGCCTCTCTTTTATTTATTTATTTATTTTCTTCATTACCCACTTCTCTTTTTTCTTGGTTGGTTATTATTGTTCCCTCTGTATATGCCTTCTTCTTACACCGATTCTGCCTCTGCCACCCTTTTGCATGCGCTTCTTCATCCCGCATTCAGATTTGTGATTTAAACGATTCCTGTGTTTGTTCTGGATCTAGCTTCTCCTTCTGCACGACCACTCGTTTGTTTCAGGGTGTTTCTCACCCTGCCGAACATATTCTTGAAAATTGTCAAGTGGGCTGGTGAAGATTCAGATTTGTTGTTAAAAAAGTTGTGAACTTTTTCTGGCATCATTTGGGGTTTGGGATATTGAGATTCTTGGCTCCCTTTTTGTTTGTTTTATTTTTGTGGTGTTTCAATGGGGTGTTTGGATGATGGGCGTTTCGCTGTTGAGATTGAAAATGGAGTGAGCAATGGTTGCGATGAAGTGGGGTTAGGGAATGATGGTGGTGCCATTGAGGAGGCTGTCAAGGTTTTGTTGGAGGGTCTTGGGGAGGATGTAAACAGGGAAGGACTGAGAAAGACACCACTTCGTGTTGCCAAGGCCCTTAGTGAAGGAACCAGAGGTGAGTGACTTAACTTTGCCATTCAATTTTCTTTGATGCAAAAAAAGGTCTTTCTATTTTCTTCTTTTGCTTGGTTTGCTACATAATATGTACTTTGGCATTTGAATGGTAGCGAGTGCTACAATTTTTCACCTTTGCAATGTGTTTTGTGAATGATTGGATCTAATAACAAAATATGGATGGATGGATCTAAATCATTCACTTTAGTGCTTGTTTGAGTTAATTTTGTAAAAAGTACTCTCTATTTTCTTCCATTTTAAACTGAGTTTTAAGACAAACTTCGACAAATGGAAGTTCTTTTTGAATTGAGTTGGGGTTTCCCAACTAAAAGCCAAACATAACTAGAGGAATGGAGAATTTCTTCTGACTGTCTTTTTTGCTTGGAAAAAGGTTAAGTAAACGCCGATTGCAGTTGGAGATATTCGTTTCTTTTATTGTTTGATGACTACCACAGTTAGTGTTTCTTAACTTTTTGGAAAAAGGTTTCCTAGTTCTTTTTACAAAACTTACTCCAAATTGTCTACTGTATTAATCATATTTTTACAAAAATTATCCTTATGCAGAGACTTATTATTTTATTTAATGGAAAAAGATTAAGAGAACACCATCCCAATAGTTTAAGGCTATTTCTGAAAACTGATACAAATTCAACTGAGTAAATCAATGTATTTTCTCAGCTTTGTCATGTAATTAAAAGGGTTTTATATACATGACAAAATGTAGTATTTGTCACTTATCGAAAGCCTTTCTGTATTATGAGTTACTTTTTACAGTGTACTATCTGTTCTTTCCTTGTAAGTTGGACTGCCCTGCTGTGAAAGGGATGGACATAGGTAAGGAGCATATAGAATTAATTTCTTGTGTAGTATTTTAGCCTGTTAATACGAACAAACATCACCAACTCACACAGTCAATGATACTGGGTTGGTTTACAACTTGTTCCTCAAAAGCTTCAGTGCTTAGCCATATTTTTTAAATTCTTCCATACTGTCTACTATAATGAACTTGCTCGATCTCCTGACCTTTACTCAATTACATACTCTAAAGAAAGATACTGATTAGTTTTGATTACTTCCTTTTCTTTAAAAATTTCTAGCATGACACATGGTTAGGCTTTTGGAGAGGGACACTGAATAGTTTACTGAAAAATGTTGACATTTTGTTGTTTAGTCAGTCCCTTCACTGCAACAGAGTTCTTTGTCAAGTTTTTGAATTGCTTTATTTCATTTTTTCTTTTTTGTTAATTTCATTTCAGCAATTCTGCTCCACTGCATACCCTTATTTTGTTTATGTGCTTCTCTTAATGCCATGGCCTTGCTTTGGTCTACATTATTTATCATGCATAAATATTATGGTTTCTCAGCTTAAAATAGATGTTTTTGGTCACAGTTTTTTTTCACAAGGTAGAATTACCAAAGAGATAATAATTTATGTCATTCATGAATAATGATATGCGCCAACTGCTGGTCAAAGTATGTTTTCCGTGTAAACTAGTCATTTGTCTATCTGTTTTATACGACTGATAACTGGTCATAAAGGTGTCTTCCATCCTATGGATGCAGTTGCTAGGTGCATTTTCTTCAATCCCTTGACATTGCATATGCAGTTGGGTATGTATGCAATGCATGCACGTCTATGGGAGAGATGGAAGGTTTTGGCATACTGTTAATTTTTTTCTGCATTACATAATCACTCAAGAAAAGATTTTATTCCATAATGAAGTTCTGTGATCTTAACACACTTTCTTTATATGGTAAGTGAATCTCTCTCTCCATTATTGGTTCGTCACTTCATATGTTTTGCCTTTCTTCATAATTTTCGACAAGAATATTTCCTTTTAGTGTTGTATTAAGATACAAATTATCATATTTCTTGAATAATAAATTATTACCAATAGTAAGGATATCTCTTTTTCCAGGGTACAAGCAAAAGGTGAAGGACATTGTTCAAGGTGCTTTATTCCCTGAAGCTGGTCTAGATAATAGAGTTGGTCATGCAGGTGGAGCAGGTGGACTTGTGATTGTTAGAGATCTTGACCTCTTTTCTTATTGTGAGTCTTGCTTGCTTCCGTTCCAGGTCAAGTGTCATGTGGGTTATGTCCCCTCTGGTGAAAGAGTTGTTGGTTTGAGCAAGCTCTCTCGTGTTGCTGATGTATTTGCAAAACGGCTTCAAGAGCCTCAACGTCTGGCAGATGAGATGTGTTCTGCTTTGCATCAGGGAATAAAGCCTTCAGGTGTCGCTATCGTACTTCAGTGTACACACATACACTTTCCAGACATAGAATCAGTTTTTCTGGACACAAACCACGAAGGATGGGTTAAGATACTTGTTTCCTCAGGTTCTGGGGATTTTGAGAACAAAAGTGCAGATGTATGGAACGATTTCTTTAGTCTTCTTAAGTTCAGAGGTTTCAATATGGATAAAGTTCACTTCAGAGGATCATCTGACCCATGCTGGTGTCCTTCTCAGTCTTCTCTCTCAGCCAAAGTTTCCTCCAAAATTGGACCAGTCAATCCTACAATGATCTCTGCTGTAGCTTCGATCATTGAATCTTTGGGAGAAGATCCTTTGAGGAACGAGCTAATAGGGACCCCAAGTAGATTTGTGAAATGGTTGATGAACTTTCAAAACAGTAAGTTTGATGTGAAGTTGAATGGTTTTCTTCGTGGTGGGATGGATGCTTTGAATATAAATGAGGAGAATAACTTAAACAAAAAAATAACCTCTGAGCTGAATATACCCTTTTGGTCACAATGTGAGCATCATTTACTTCCATTTCACGGTGTTGTTCACATAGGATACCTCATATGTGACGGATTCAATCCTATTGGAAAATCACTTCTACAATCAATAGTACATTTTTATGGTTTCAAGCTCCAAGTTCAAGAAAGGCTTACCAGGCAGATAGCTGAAACCATTTCCCCACTGTTAGGTGGAGATGTGATAGTAGTTGTAGAGGCAAGTCACACATGTATGATCTCTAGGGGAATTGAGAAGTTTGGAAGTAGTACGGCTACGATCGCTGTGTTAGGACGTTTTTCAACTGACCCTTCTGCTAGGGCCTCATTCTTGCAGAGTATTCCAAGTCCTACATCAACTGGGGAGCAATGACTCTTGTTTGAGCTTCACTTCAAATAATTTAGCACTAGTTCAGATCATTCTTTGCACTTTCAAATTTTACTGTGAGCAGTTAAGCAGCCCCAACATGGTTTGAAATTTGAAATTATTTATTTTCTGGTTTGTCTTTTACATGATAGTCATATCCCCATAAGAAAAAAGAAAGAGGGGATTCATCCAGATTTAAGTACTGGCATACAGTTCCTAGAATGTTAATGATGTTAGTGTACCTGGAAGTTATTGGAATGTTGGGTGTTATTCAAATGCTTTGGTGTTTTTATTCTACTGCTAGAATAGAGATCTATTCATTCCATGATACCAATAACAAAGGGTAAGTATGACTGTAATAACCTGAATAGAAGATTGTGTTTTGTGAAGTATAACCAGCAAAAGGTAGTGTTATGCGGATCATATCAAATCATTTCAAATGACAAATCTTAAACAATTATTTATACGTATTAACTAAATTGAGAATGAGTATACATGATTCATTTAAACCAAAATATGCAAAATAAAACAATAAACTTTTTTAGATTCTACGTAGTATTTTCACTTTTTCATTATAAGAACAGGTATGATATTTTTCAAACATTAAAGCAGAAATTAATAATTAATGTAATCTATAAGGATGTTGTTTGAAAATCTATATCGACTAGAGATAAAGCTAATTTATAGTATATAAGTGGGTATAAATTTCATTTTATAAGCTGGTTTTGTGAAGTTGAGTTAGGATTAAAGTTTACTTTTTAATCTAGTATTAGAGCCTGGTTAGAGCCTATCCTAATGAGTTTCGTGTGGACATATTGTTCCAATATCAGAATTCTTTTTCAATAATATTTATATTTATATTTTTTTATATAATATTGTTAAAATAATTAAAAAAATTTCGTGGGTAAGACAATAATATCATATGAAATTAAAAACAAAACACGAGACTATGTAATTTCTTCAATGAAATACTATCAAAATCATCAAAAGAATTAAGGGATGTGTGGAACTAATCATATTGTTGATAGGGGAGCAATGTGATAGTTAAACACAATCTCTTGTGTGTTTTGTTTACGATGATGACAACAACATAAATGTTTCTATATGTTTCTTGCACAACAACGGAAACATTTTTTATATGCATAGTTACATTTACATGTTTGTGTGTGCTTGAACTGATTGGTTTGCATACTTGTTATGGTCATACATGTGTTTATATCTGTAGTATGCATACTCATGTTTTTAAATGACAAAACCACTTGCACAAAGCATATTTGTATGAAGTAATTGATTACGGTGTTTATGTAATAATTAGATTCATCAGATATCAACTAATGCTTAACTATGGCAAACTGCAAGTTTTAACCGATTACATTATATGCATAATCGATTAAAACTCATGCCTTTGCTAACATTTGTTTACTGAGTGCAGTGATGTGTTTTGAGGAGAAAAAGTTTCCAAAATTGCTTAAGTGTAATACTTAACCGATTACAAAGTTTCCTTAATCGGTTAAAATTGGGACACATTAAAAACTGTTTTAATGTTAAATCTTCACTATCATAACGGTCATATTTTAAATTGTTTTGACTTACAATATATGTGCAATCAAGTACATTAATTGCTTAATAATTTAAATCTGTTTTAATGTAAATCTGGCATAACACTGTTAAAAGCTTAACCGATTACATTAATTTCGCAATCGATTAAAATGCGTTAGGATTATGAAAATCCTATAAATAGATGTCTTGGGCGCTGTTTCAAAACGAGATACTGAAAATACAATTTCATAACTAACATTTGATTGAGTTTTGATTACAGAAAGCGTCTACTGATTTGAGTGAAGGAATAGGTCACAATGCTAAAAGTGAAGAATTAACTCAAAGAAATTTACTGATTTGAGTAAACCTTCTACGGTGACTTGTTTCTATTGCAATACTATTAGTCACACTATTAGATCTTGTTATTACGAAAAATTTGGTGTTCCAAAGGGAAAGTTTAAATGAATTCCCAAAGAATCAACTACGGTTACTAACACAAAAGGCCCCAAGTTTATTTAGGTACCTTCTTCCAAACCATATGATGATTTTTACAGGAAAATAAATAGAATTGGTGGCAGACATTCAAGGAAGGATTGCAAAGGAAAAATCATTAACCTCTTAAGTATCAAATGTGGTAATTTTAGTTTAATTTTGTAATTCATGCATCATTCTTGATCTGCAACATTGTTACTGATGTATGTGAGTGATATGTGCTTGTCTGTATTGAAATTGGTTGAAAAGTGTTTTCACGAATTTTAACCGATTATATTAGTAGTGTAATCAATTAAACCTTTCTTAGTGTTTTTGTGTTTTCAAAAGTCTAAGACTAGTTGAAGCTTAATCGATTCAAGAACTAATAAAATCGATTAAATTGTTGTACTGGATTTTTTAAAATTTTCAAAAATTCAAAATGGCCTTCCCTAAACCTAATCAATTAGGTCTTTTATAAAATTTGTTTCATGTGTTCATGAGCTGCACTGCTCCATTACTTGGTCTCTAAAACCCTATCTATGTACAAGTGTCTCTGTGAACCCTGATTCTGTGATGGCTTCTTCATCTTCTCTTCGTGAAAAACGGACAACACCTTTTGAAAGGCAAGCAAATCCCACTGGTTGGATTAATGATGAGGAAATACAAAGTGATTTTGTATGCCTCTAGGGATTCAAAGAAGTAATCGAGCATAAGTTTTTTAGTATTCTTTTATTACGCAATAAACGATTTATATTTCAGGAGTGACTGATTTATCAAGGTCTGGCTAAGTTGGTTTAGTTGGATGGTGACTACTACCCAAACTTGGTGAAGGTTTTCTATGCTAATCTAAGGGTTAAAGATAGTCGTATTCTTTCTCGAGTGAAAGGTGTGGATGTCTGCATTGATGAAGCTATATGAAATACAATTGCAGGGTTTCATCCTGCTAGGATTAAGTCTCATTTGGGCATGTGTGGTATCAACAAAATGGCTATTTACAAAGATTGTATAAGGTTTCCTGAAGAGCCAAGAGACTTCACTCTCTTCAAGGTTGACGACTTGAAAAGGGATGAGTGTGTTTGCGCATTTGTCATAGCTTGGGTTATACTACCTAGAGGTGGAAATCATGCACAACTCACCACTAAAGATGTATATTTGTTACATGCTATGCAGGCTAAAGTTCCCACAAACTGAATTTATGTAATAAGTGATCATATGACCAAGATCACCAGGCAAAAAGTATACTACCTTCCATATGTTGTCTTCATTAGCATGATATTGAGACTTCATGGAGTTGATGTCACATATGAAGTGACTTTGGGTTGCTCAAAGAAAAACATGATTGAGAAACTTGCCTTGCACCATAAGGGACTGAGAAAGGATGAAAAGGGCTGGTCATTCAAGGACGAACATGTACCTGTGGTGGAAGAGATTGAGCCCATAGGTGTTGATAATTCTAAGTACTATTTCAAGCCTCAATCTGAGTTTGAAAATTTTATGGTTGAATAATTTAAGAAGAAAATGACAAGTTATCCTTATTACAAAAATCATTATCTAATGTGCATAGGAAGTTGGACTATGCACTGAAAATCAATTCATTTTAAGGAACATCTAAAGATGACTCGGTAAATGAAGAAAACAAAACAGATCAAGACTTCTTAGAGATAACTGACTCAGATTAGGAGTTTATAGTCTAAGTTGTGTCTGTTTTGATGTTTTCTTTGGTTCTTTTATTTTGAAATGAATGTAAAAATTGGCTATAAAGTCATTTATACTTGAACGCTTGTTATTTTGATAAAATGAATGAAATGAACATATTTTGGATTATATCTTGTTCTTGATTGTTTGAATGAATATGACTAGATATATCTGTTGTATGAGTGCAAAACTGCTTGTTCATTGTCATACATATTATTTGTAAGAAAATATATGGCTTGTTTCTCTTCCCAAGAGAGGAGGGGGAGGGGAGGGGGAGGGGAGGGTGAATTGGTATACAATAAAAACAGTATACCAAGACTTTCCACTATAAAGATTTCATCTAGTTTTCTCTCATGTATATACGAATTCTACTTCTTCATTAATGTCAATGTCACTATCTAAAATACTTAAAACCCAATTCCTTAGCGAAAGCCTATCCTTAATTACTAGGTCACAATTTCTTGCATCCCTAACAATTAATTTTGCATTACGATTAGTAGCTTAAGACAACCAGAACTCATACCTTAATTCTTGAGCAATACTACTACTAGGAATAATTCTCCAGAACCTGAATTGTAAGATACCTTCCGGTACTCATGCAAATCATACATCATGCTTATGAATGAGTTAAATAAAGCAAGCATTGAGTGAAGAAGAATTACCCTAACAATTAATGAAAGAAGCATATATAATTAAGAATATATTCAATACATGAGAGTTTACAAAGATTTACATCATTCCCCAACAATAAATAGAATTTAGTTCACCATTGACATGGTGAAAACTAGAAGAATAATGGAAAAGAATGAATGATAAAACCCTAGAAGTTGAAGATAAGAGCTTCTGCATCCAAATCCACCTCCGAGTGATCAAAGGGTGTGTTTCTGCGACTCTTTTGTCAAAAGATATAATCCCTAGGATGTCCAAGTCCTTAAATAGAACATAAAAATAACAAAAAACGGGTCCAAGCCCACGAAACTGGCGCTCAGCGCCCCTAAACCCTAAATCCTAAACTCTCTTATTCACACCAAACTATGATTTCAAGCTAGTTTCTAAGTTAAAAATGGTGTTTTTAGTATCAAAATTAAGTATCAAATAACGGTAAATTCAATCATTATCACAACCCCAAACTTAGAACTTTGTTTGTCCTCAAGCAAACAAAATGTAACTTAGCTTTCAAACAATCAATACATTGGTTTCAACACATTTCAAAACCTTTTCTTTCAAGACAAGTAATCGCTCATATCAGCTTATTATAAAGAATATCAATCAAGATGAATAAATGTCTTGATTCAATTAACTCATTGTGGTGCTCACCTAATCACAGAATATTCAACAGATGTTACCCTCATGAATGATCAATCAACCAAGCAAAGATGTAATCATGCATACATGGAACTACTCCTCACCAAGGAAAAAGTGTTTCTCTCAAACACACAGGTGTATATAGAGGTGACTCATTCACTCTGCTATCACAATATCACATAAATAAACTTTGTCTTTCATTTAACCACAATCAATCAAACTCACAAGCAATTTGTCATCACAAGGACTTTTCTATGGCTTGTATATGGCT